CTCCCATTCACAATTGCTACAAAGAGAATAAAATACCTAGGAATGCAACTTACAACAGATGTGAAAGACCTCTTCAAGGAGAACTGCAAACCACTGCTCAAAGAAATAAGAGAGGAAACAAACAAATGGAAAAACATTCCATGCTCATGGATAGGAAGAATCAATATTGTGAAAATGGCCATACTGCCCAAAGTAATTTATAGATTCAATGCTATCCCCATCAAGCTACCATTGACTTTCTTCACAGAATTAGAAAAAACTACTTTAAATTTCATATGGAACCAAAAAAGAGCCCATATAGCCAAGATAATCCTAAGCAAAAAGAACAAAGCTGGAGGCATCATGCTACCTGACTTCAAACTATACTACAAAGCTGCAGTAAACAAAACAGCATGCTACTGGTACCAAAACAGATATATAGACCAAAGGAACAGAACAGAGGCCTCAGATATTACACCACACATCTACAACCATCTGATCTTTGACAAACCTAACAAAAATAAGCAATGGGGAAATAATTCCCTATTTAATAAATGATGTTGGGAAAACTGGCTAGCCATATGCAGAAAACTGAAACTGGACTCCTTCCTTACAACTTATACAAGAATTAACTCAAGATGGATTAAAGATTTAAACATGGCCAGGTGCAGTGGCTCATGCCTGTAATCCCAGTACTTTGGGAGGCTGAAGTGGGTGGATCATGAGGTCGGGAGATCGAGACCATCCTGGCTAACATGGTGAAACCCCGTCTCTACTAAAAAATATAAAAAATTAGCCGAGTGTGGTGGTGGGCACCTGTAGTCCCAGCTACTTGGGAGGCTGAGGCAGGAGAATGGCATGAACTCGGGAGATGGAGCTTGCAGTGAGCAGAGATCATGCCACTGCACTCCAGCCTGGGCAACAAACAAAGACTCCATCTCAAAAAAAAAAAAAAAAAAAAAGGATTTAAACATAAGACCTAAAACCATAAAAACCCTAGAAGAAATCCTAGGCAATACCATTGAGGACATAGGCATGAGCAAAGACTTCATGATTAAAACACCAAAAGCAATTGCAACAAAAGCCAGTTGACAAATGGGATCTAATTAAACTAAAGAGCTTCTGCACAGCAAAAGAAACTATTGTCAGAGTGAACAGGCAACCCACAGAATAGGAGAAAATTTTTGCAATCTATCCATCTGTTAAAGGGCTAATATCCAGAATCTACAAGGAATTTAAACAAATTTACAAGAAAAAAACAAACAACCCCATCAAAAAGTGGGCAAAAGATATGAACAGACACTTCTCAAAAGAAGACATTTATGTGGCCAACAAACATATGAAAAAATGCTCATCATCCCTGGTCATTAGAGAAATGCAAATCAAACCACAATGAGATACCATCTCATGCCAGTTAGAATGGCAATCATTAAACAGTCAGGAAACAACAGATGCTGAGAGGATGTGGAGAAATAGGAATGCTTTTACACTGTTGGTGGGAGTGTAAATTAGAGTGTGGCAATTCCTCAGGGATTTGGAACCAGAAATACCATTTGCCCCAGCAATCCCATTACTGGGTATATACCCAAAGGATTATAAATCATTCTACTATAAAGACACATGCACACATATGTTTATTGCAGCACTATTCACAATAGCAAAGACTTGGAACCAACCCAAATGCCTACCAATGATAGACTGGGTAAAGAAAATGTGGCACATATACACCATGGAATACTATGCAGCCATAAAAAAGAATGAGTTCATGTCATTTGCAGGGACATGGATGAAGCTGAAAGCCATCATTCTCAGCAAACTAACACAGGAACAGAAAACCAAACACCACATGTTCTCACTTGTAAGTGGGAGTTGAACAATGAGAACACATGGACTTGGGGAGGGAAATGTCACACACCAGGGCCTGTCAAGGGGTGAAGGGCAAGGGGAGGGATAGCATTAGGAAAAATACCTAATATAGATGACAGGTTAATGGGTGCAGCAAACCACCATGGCACATGTACACCTGTGTAATAAACCTGCACATTCTTCACATGTATCCCAGAACGTAAAGTATAATTTAAAAAATAAATAAATAAAAAGAAAAGAAAGAAAGAAAGGGATGTTCAGGACAAACCAGAAAGTCAAAGCATGTTACGAATGGTCTGTGTAAGTCACAATAAGAGGATTTATTTTGAAAAACTTTTACATGATCAAGTTGTCTATAATTAAAGGGAAATTATAATGGTCTTTCTAGAGATTGGGTTTGATGTTAAAAAACTACTTATACACTAAAAAATTGGTTAGAATGATGAAATTTTCTTAAGGGGTAGATTCACTCTTAGTAAATTATAAGAGACTTAAGAAGTTTTTTTAACCCAAAGCTCAGTTTTTATTGCATCTTGCTGCTTTTGGTTTTCTCTCCCCTCTACAAGGGTGGGAAATAGTAATGCCCTCCTTCAACTTCCTTCAGCTCATATACGTTTTTTTCCCCTCAGATTCTGTTTGTTGTGTCCTGATGTTTTCTTAAAGGTCTAAAGGAAGTATTTTCTTCCAACATAATATTCTGTGCATTGCAGAAGGTCTTTTCTTTTGCCTTTTGGTAACTGGCTTAACAGATTTTATGTTTTATTGAAATAATTTCTATGCCATTATTATTAAGTTTTGGTTTGCTTAGAAAACACTGAAATTACTAAATTTTTTAAAAAAATTATGATTATTACATTCATGTATCTTTATGTATGTGCTTTTAAAGTCCTTGTGACATTGAGTTATAAGGCTTGACTCCTGGGTCTTAAAAGGACCAGTCCTGCTAAATCTTAAACACTGATGGCAATTAAAGGCTCATCTTCAGGACTGGTAGAAGATGCCAATCAAAATAAACTGCATTCTTGTAACACAGAGCCAGAAATTAAAGCTATTAAACTCAAGCCCAGGGACTATAGTGGAAGAGGTGGGTGTGTGAGATTGTAAGGGCCAATTTTGAGAGATAAAATAAGTTCAATTTCTCTATAAATTAATCATAATCATTAATGTCAAAGGCACACTGATGCAAGATCAGCATATGGACCCCTGTATCAGATTAACAAGGTTTTCTTGAAGCATTAACCTACTCCTTAATAAAGATTATAGAGGTTATAAAAGGCTTCTGAAAGTTATAGCTGTGGTCAAGATAAAAATTTCATAGATTGTTAATACAATTTTGAAAAACAAATTTAATTGGCTTCATGCTGTTTTTTTAGGGCTTATTATTTGGAAAATTAAGTCTCCTCTCTGAAAGAAGGAAGGCTTTCACTTTTTTTTTTTTTTTGAAAATCCTTTAGTTATCACTTTGATCAAATGAATGACTTATTTTACAATGACCTTTCAACAAGTGTTTTAAACCTTTGATATTTGACAAACTTTCCAAAATCTAACTATAAATTATATGTTTTTCTGACCTAATGAATCCTTTAAGATACGAGGTTCCCTAAAGTCCAAAAAAGAAAAAAAATAACATAGTGTGGCTTATTTGCTATAAAGATTTTACAGGAACCATTGTCAAATATGAAATAGTGTTTGGTTTTGTTTGGGCTGTATTTGTATAAATATGTTATTGGTATGTGTTCTAACATTATGGGAAACTCCTGTAATTCTGATATGACTTGGTGTACATTATCAGTAATAATTATAATTGTTATGGTAAATTATTGTGTGCCATGGAGGTAACAAATTTCCTCGTCAAATGTGTCTTTGACGATAGTTGCCCTAAAACTTTTTGTCATCCTTGGACAATTGTTGTTTTGCTTTGGTCCTCTTTAGAAAAGGTGGTTTTATAATCAACTATAAAACTCTAACGGGTGCTCTTGAATGCAGGCTTCTGATAACTTTGGAAACTGTGACATCAGAAGAGAGGAAAAGCTTTCAGGATTCATGGAGTGCTGAAATATTCATGAATATCAAGCAGAACAGGAAGTAACTTCATGGATGGAACTAACAGAATGCTGAAGTAATCTTTTTGACCTTTTTTCTTAAAATGTTGATGATCTTTTGTTTTGTTTTTCAGAGTCAAGGAAATTTTTCTTTTGAGCTATTGACAGCTTTCAACAATTAAGTATACTCCTGTGAACACAATTTGGAGCATATTTGTTTCTCTCTATCTGATTTCTCTAGAATTTGGAAACAATTTGTGGGTATTCTTAACTTATGGCAATATAATTATTTACATAAGTACAATAAGAATCTATTTTCATTTGTAACAGAACACAGTTGGACAAACTGGTTATTTTACCAAGGCTTTGACTGGAATGCTGTCTTTACTTTAAGGAATCAAACTTGACTTACGGAGCCAATAAAAGCCCCTTGGGAAAACTAGCTTCATACCTTGTCTACCCAGTCCCTGTACAGGGAGTCCAAAGTTTATCCTGGAACCTCAAGAGGAGAGGAATTCACCCAACTCATAGGTATTTTGATGGTACAAATCCATGGCTGGGCTCAGATTTACAAAAGTCTTACCTGAGATTCCTTCTATAGAAAAAGTTACATCAAAGCCAATTTAAAAGTCCATGAAAAATGTTTATTCTTGCTGCACTGTATACAAATAAACAGGTCAAGTATAATACAGCAAATCAGTCTTATCATGATTTGTCTAGTAAAAATGGGAAACTGGGGAGAGAAAAAATGTATTTCAAAAAACTGTAGGCTGGGCGCGGTGGCTCAAGCCTGTAATCCCAGCACTTTGGGAGGCTGAGACGGGCGGATCACGAGGTCAGGAGATCGAGACCATCCTGGCGAACACGGTGAAACCCCGTCTCTACTAAAAATACAAAAAACTAGCCGGGCGAGGTGGCGGGCGCCTGTAGTCCCAGCTACTCGGGAGGCTGAGGCAGGAGAATGGCGTAAACCCGGGAGGCGGAGCTTGCAGTGAGCTGAGATCCGGCCACTGCACTCCAGCCCGGGCGACAGAGCCAGACTCCGTCTCAAAAAAAAAAAAAAAACAAAAAACAAAAAAACAAACAAACAAAAAAAAAAAACTGTAGTACACTTGTTGGTAGATTCTAGTCTTGTTTTTCAATTTTTATTATTTTTTATAGTTTGGACTGAATTCTAATTTTTCTTGGCTGTAAGTCTTCAAAATAATGTTTTCAATTTTTTTTCTTCTTTTCCACCTCCACTTTTCCTAATTTGGAGTCACTGAAAACTAAGCTGTGCTTTTGTAAAGCCCTGCAAACTGAAGCTAGACAACTTAATCTTCAGAAGAAAATAATGGCAACCTATTTACATACGTAAGCCACTTTCATATCTGCCTACTGATACATAGACTTCAGAGGAATGTGGCCTATATCAATTTTACAGATTGTTCTTTTGTTTGTTGTTGTTGTTCTCCCTTCCTTCCCCTATCTTCTCTTCATAGGACATGAAACTTCACAACCTGCTAAAAATGAACTTTCCTAATAACTCAGAACCTACCTGTCTAGGAATAAACCATCCTAGCCTTGAGCAATCAGATGACCAGAGACTTATTTTCTTCTAAAATGCTTTCTCTAAAATATTTTAAAAAAGAAAAGAGGGGAAATGTGAAAGGAAAATAATAAATCTTGGGGCCTCCAAATCACTAAGCTGGGAAAGTCAAGCTTGGAACTTCTTAGGGCAAATCTGCCTTTCTATTCAAAGTCGTCCCTCTGCTCACTGAGATAAATGCACATCTGATTGCCTCCTTTGGAAAGGCTAATCAGAAACTCAAAAGAATGCAACTGTTTGTCTCTCACCTACCTGTGACCTGGAAGGCCCCTCCCTGCTTCAAGTTGTCCTGCCTTTCTAGGCAGAACCAGTCTACATCTTACATATATTGATTGATGACTCATGTCTCCCTAAAATATATAAAACCAAGCTGTGCTCTGACCACATTGGGTACATATGGTCAGGACCTCCTGATGCTCTGTCATGGGTGGGTGTCCTCAACCTTGGCAAAATAAACTTTCTAAATTAACTGAGACCTGGGTCAGATTTTTGGGGTTTACAGCAACAATTTCAAAAACTCACCACTGACCTAAAATCTTGACCGCACACTGTTCCTCACACTCAGCCATGAAAATAGACACCATCCTACGAGCTCCCTTGGCCATGTCCTGCCACACTCCAACATGTGTCCCCATCCACCATCTGTTGTCTTATTGCTGCATCCTACCCAGGCCCTGATCTCTGGACCCATTGTTTTATAATTATGAATCTGGGGCTGGGCATGGTGGCTGTGGCTCACTCCTATAATCTCAGCATTTTGGGAGGCTGTAGTAGTCAGGATTCTCAAGAGGGATAGAACCAATAGGATATATTGGTTGTGTATATATATGTCCTATTGGTTCTATCCAATATATATATATCCTATTGGTTCTATCCCTCTTGAGAATCTTGACTAATATATATACATATATACACACATAGATATACACATATATATACGAATACATATCTATACATATATATACACACACACACATATATATATGAGTTTATTAAGAAATATTGACTCACATGATCACAAGGTAAAGTCCCACAATCGGCCGTCTGCAAGCTGAGGAGCAAGGAAGCCAGTCTGAGTCCCAAAACCTCAAAAGTAGGGAAGCCAACAGTGCAGTCTTCAATCTGTGGTTGAAGGTCCAAGAGTCCAAAAGCTGAAGAACTTGGAGTCTGATGTTTGAGGGCAGGAAGCATCCAGCATGAGAGAAAGATGTAGGCTGGAAGACTAAGCCAGTCTAGTGTTTCCATGTTCTTCTGCCTCCTTTTATTCTGGCCTCACTGGCAGCTGATTAGATTGTGCTCACCTGGATTGAGGGTGGGTCTTTCCCAGTCCACTGACTCAAATATTAATCTCCTTTGGCGACACCCTCACAGACACACCCAAAAACAATACTTTGTATCCTTCAATCCACTCAAGTTGACACTCAATATTAACCATCACAGAGGCCGAGGTAGAATGATTGCTTGAACCCAGAAGTTTGAGACCAACTTTGGCAACACAGGGCGATCGATCCCATCCCTACCAAAAAAAAAAAAAAAAAAAAAAAAAAGTGTAAAAATCAGGATAATTCAATTATCTGTGGTCCCAGATACTTGGAAGGTTGAGGTGGAAGGGTCACATGAGCCTGGGAAGTTGAAAGCTACATTGAGCTGTGATCTGTTGCTGCACTCCAGCCTGGGCAACACAGCAAGACCCTGTCTCAAAAAAAAAAAAAAAAAAGAAAATAATTTGTCTGATCTATGTTCCAGGTTCCTGACATGGAGCTTCTAAAACTGTTGGAATTTTCTGAGTAATAGAAGTGCCTTTTTTATGTTAATGAGCTAACTCACGGCAGGGCCCGCAGATAGCTTCAGGATGGTGTCTGGTCCCTGAAAAGACCAAGCAGGTAATTAGAGTTGGGGCTTTGAGCCAGATGATATTAGCCAACCCTCCAGACCTCTAGGGAGGAGAGGGACCCTGGAGATTGAGTTCAAGTACATGGCCAATGATTTAATTAATCATACCTATGTAATGAATCCCACCCAAAATCTCGAGACATTGGAGCTCAGAGGAACTTCCTGGTTGTCGAGCCCTTGATGTGCTGGGAGGTGGTGCATCCTGATTCCTTGAAGGGAGGACACAGAAGCTCTGTGTTTTTTACTAGTCCTCTCTCTATGTGCCTCCTCATTTGGCCTGGTCCTTCTGATCTATATCCTATATAATAAAATTGTAATAATAATGATAGCATTTTCCTGAGTTCTGAGTTGTTATACCCCGTTATTGAATCTGAGAGAACTGTGGGAATTTTTGAGCTTATGGCAGTCATTCAAAAAATGTGAGTGGCTTGGGGACCCCTGAAGTGTGCCTGGCATCTGAAGTAGGAGCAGTCTTGTTGGGGACCATGCTTTTTAACTTGTAGAGTCTACACTAACTCTGGGTGGTTAGTGCTGGAATTGAATTGCAATACATCTGGCTGGGGTTTAAACAGAAAGCCCGTGTTCTCAGGGACCTTGCTTTTTTGTGCTCTGTCTCTGTCTCTCTCTCTGTCCCTGTCTCTATCTCTGTCTGTCTCTCCTTTAACTTTGTACTCTATTTGTTTCTCCTCACCAGACCCACTCAAGTCTTGCTTATCCACAGCAAAACAAAATGGTGAAGGCAGTACCTCCTTCACTAGTGTTCTCCTCACCTTCTGCTTTATTTCTCTTGAAAGAGTGCCTTCACTTCCTTCTCCTCCCACTCATCAGCTTCTTCCTACTACTTAACCAAAACTTTCATAAAAGTTATTCTTATTCCCATAGTCAATGAATAATTCTCAGCTTAAAAAAAATCCATGACTTTCTCTGCAGCATTTCATACTATTTGACAATTTTCTTTCCTTCTTGAACTACAACCCCCTTCCACCCCAGTTTCTGTAATACTGCACTGGGATTCCTTTGTCTATTCCTCTCTCAGTCTCCTGTACAATCTTATTTTGTCTGCCCCTTCCAAACTGCATGTATTGTCCATTCTCCACCCTCCTCCTCGATTCCTAGTCCATGAATGTCTTACCATCCACCCAGATACCTGGGCGTGTCACCTTGAGTCTGTCTTCTCACTCACCACTCTAACCCCACATCTGATCACTCATCATATTTGATTCCTTCTGCCTCCCACATGCCTTGTGTCTCTGTGCATTTATATCCTCTGCCTCTGTGATTGTCACAGTCCACACAAAAACAGCTTAGCTCCTCAACAGTCTCTCTGCTTCAAGTTGTGTGACCCTCCCACGTGTTCTTCATCTCACAGCCAGGGTGATATTTCCAAAACAGATGCAATCATGTAGATAGAGCCCAAGCCCTGGCCCATGGCAGGTGCCAGTGACCTTTAACTGCATGCATGAATGAATGTTATATCCCTGCTTAAAACCCCCAATAGTCTCCCATGGCTCTTTGCATCCAAGCTCTTTGACACAATTTCAGGTTCTCCTGACTTGGCTGTTGCATGTTGCTTTCACTGGCCTTGAATATGTCATGCTTATCCTTCCTCTACCTGGAACACCCTCCCTCCCTTCAGCTGGGTAAGTGGAACTTATCTCTTAGATGTCAGCTTTCATAGGCTTTTTCCTGCCCCACCTGCTATATGGTTATAGATCACTTCCTGCTCCACCTATTGTATATCGATTACATTTTATTGCAATTGTTTGTAGTACGGATTTACACACCCACCATCAGTATCTCAGTAGCCACATCAGTGCACACTTCTGGTAACACTTGGTGAGGTCAGACTTGTAAAGTGTTGACACTCTATTTCGTATAAAATGGTATCTTATTGTGGCTTAATTTTCACTTCTATAATTTTTAATGAGGTTGAGCATTTAAAAAATGTTTCCTAGCCATTTGTATTTACTCTGAAAAAATCTAGGTTAGAAAACTGAGAGAAAGTATTTATTCTTTTATGAAATGTACATATTTTTTCCTGCTGGGTTTTTTTTTTCTAATTTATTTGTATGAGTTTTTGTTTTTGTTTTTTTGACAGAGTCTTACTCTGTCACTGAGGCTTACAGTGACATGATCTCAGCTCACTGCAACTTCTGTTTTCTGGGCTCAAGTGATTCTCCTGCCTCAGCTTTCTGAGTAGCTGGGATTACAGGCACCTGCCACCATGCTTGGCTAATTTTTGTATTTTTAGAAGAGATGGGTTTTTGCCATGTTGGCCAGGCTGGTCTCCAACTCCTGACCTCATGTGATCTGCTCGCCTCCCAAAGTACTGGGATTCCAGCATGAGCTGCTGCACCTGGCCGGGAGTTCTTTATATATTCTGAAAACTAATCCTTTGTGAGACATAAGTGTTGTAAATATTGTATCCCAGTTTGTGGCATGTATTTTTATTTTTTAATGGTGTCTCTCAATGAAAATTCTTAACGTTTAAATGAGGTCAAGTTGATCAGGTTTTTATTTATGGTTTATTCCTTTGGTGTCATGTGTAAGGAATGTTGTTCCTTCCTGTTCCAAAGCTGCAAAGATTTCTTGTGTATTTTGTCCTAAAAGTTTTAAAGTTTTGCTTTTCCTATCTGTGCACATTTCACATTTGCTACATCTCACTGACTGCTTCCTCTGCTGCAGAGCAAGCTCCATGAGAGTAGGAGGCATGGGTCCCCAGAGCCCCATGTCGTGACTGGGACCTGGCAGGGGACCAGTGAGTAGCTCCTGACTGACTGACTCAACGAATGAGTGATTGGATGATTGAACAAAGTGGTATTGGAGTTCAGAGGGAGCAAGAGATGCCTAAGAAGAGATGAAGAAGGAGATGGTATAGGGTAGTGGTTCTCAAGTCTGGGTCCACAGTGGACTCACCTGGGGACTCTTAAAATGTACTGTGGAGGATCCCAATCCAAGAGATTCTGCATGACTGGCCTAAGACGTGGTCTGGGCACCAGGCGATCCCAGTGTGCAGCCAGGGCTGAGGCCACTGGATTTGGTGGTAAATGAGGTAGCGATCAAGGGTACAGACATTGGTGCCAACAGGCTTGGGCTTGAATTTCAGCTTTGTCACTGACTTGCTGTGTCCTCCTGCACTTGTTGAGCCTGTTTTCTCGCCTGAGAGTAGGGTGTGATAACACCTACCTGCTGTGGTTGTTGTGAGAGTTAGAGGAGATAAGCATGTTCCTGGAATGAAGTGTATTCTTAATCCATCATAGGCTTTTTGTTTGTTTGTTTGTTTTTTCGTTTTCAAGAATGAGTTTGAGCCAGACTTTGACAGCTGGGTGGGAAGTGAACATGTGGTGATTGGGAGAGAAGGGCAGTTTATGTGAAGGGAATGTAATAATTCAAGAGAGTGGGCGTGGGAAGACATGCTGGGGAGAGTGAGCAGGCCGGTTAGCCCTGGTAGAGGGTGCAAGAGAGCAGTGGGAAATCTGCCAGGGAGATAGGTGGGTGACCAGGGTGCCAAGGGTGTGGCTTTTCCCGGGTTCCCATGGACACAGCCATCCTCCCAGATGCCCAGCCCAGCTGTGAGTGAGCAAGAGTTCTGGATTGTCTCTCTCACTCTGTCTTTTTCTCTCATTCCAGAAACAAAGCAGTGACTGGTACTTAAGAGGAGGCTCAGGTCAAGTTGGGAGTGAAGATCAGGGGACCAGAAGCAAGAATGGAGGCCCCACCCATGCTGGAAGATGATGAGGGTTTTGGTTCAGGGAGGAGGAATACTGGGGATCTAAAGGGGCCTGGGAGTGGGGCAGGACCCTGCCTTAGGACAGGTAGAAATATTTTCTATAAAAAATGGGGTGTAGGGGCTGGGCATGGTGGCTCACACCTGTAATCCTAGCACTTTGGGGGGCTGAGACGCATGGATCACAAGGTCAGGAGATCGAGAACGTCCTGGCTAACATGGTGAAACCCTGTCTCTACTAAAAATACAAAAAAAATAAAAATAAAAATAAAAAATTTAGCCAAGCGTGGTAGTGGGCGCCCGTATTCCCAGCTACTAGGGAGGCTGAGGCAGGAGAATGGCGTGAATCTGGGAGGTGGAGCTTGCAGTGAGCCGAGATGGCACCACTGCACTCCAGCCTGGGTGATAGAGCGAGACTCTGTCTCAAAACAAACAAAAAAAAGTGGGGTGGGGGTTGATGGTAGGACCAGGCATCTTTAGTTGACTCCCTGGAGTGCCAAGTCCTTGAAATGGTCTTTAAAAGTCAAGGAGTGGGGTTTGAATCTGGTGTTCAAGCTCATAGGTTATTAACATAATGACACTTCGAAAGTATTTAGGAGAGCTCAAGTGAATGGCCCGGAAGTTCCGTGTTGGTGTGGGCAGCGGCTTAGGATGTACTGCTCCAGACTCATATCTTTGACTGCACACCTGACACTTAATCTGGCTGTCCTGTAAGCACCTTCAACTTAACATGTCCTACACAGAACTCTTGATATTCCCGTTCCTTCCCCAGTCCCTCAGTTCTTACCAAATGTTCTTCCAGTTACCCAAATGCTTAAATAAAAAAAATCTAAGTCCTTCTCTTGGATTTCTGCCTGTTCCCTCACCTTCCCACCTATCCATGAGTGTTCTGTGGGCCCTGCCTCTGAAATAAATCCTGCCTTTGTCTCCCAGTTCACTCCAGCTGCCCATCCTGGGGCTGTACCCTCCTCCTTCTAAGCCCTCTCCCTTTCCTTCCTGGGGCTGCCTGTCATGTCAAACATATGCATTAGTGCCACCAGGACATTTGAAATGCAACCAAAACAATTGGGCGCAGTTATGCCTATCAGGTTTTCTTCCTTAAACATTTTATATTTATGTTTGAAAGCATGCCACGTTTCTTCACTTGCCTACTGACAGATTTATTAGTTGGCAACATCCGCTGATAGCATCAGTACTAAGTTAATTGTTTTTGCACACCTAGCTTTAATTATTCTCATTATCATTTTTGGAGTTATTCTTTGTAAAGGGTAACTGAGTTTTCCAAAACAAACAGAAATTTGGGGTGTGCCCATGGAGCGTGACTCATGACATCAGATTCTTAGAAGGACCTCAGCAAGTCTCTGGGTTGCCGTTAACGAGCCTGGCTGGCTGCCAGGGGTGTGTCTGCCCTTGGTGGGAACACCACTGTTCAAATGCTTGCCTGCGGCATTACCTGCGTAGGTAGTGCTTGTTTCTACTGAACTGTCAGGGATCCAATGCTATGTGGTCTAAGTAACAATACTCAGATTCACAAGGAATTGATTAATAAGCCAGAATGCCAGTGTATTACATTTTTGATGAAGACCATATTTACAGTAATTGTATCTGCTCAAGCTCAAATTAGGATTAGAGTTCTGACAAATACATACGTGAGAACTATGAGGTTAAATACTTGAAATTTGAACTTTTCTGGAAAATCTGAATGTGATTGCCATTCACATACCTTTCTGGGGATGGTGATTCTTGTACTCTTATTTTAAAAAACATAGAAAACTAACTTAAGAATCAGATTGCTTGGCTGGGCGCAGTGGCTCATGCCTGTAATGCCAGCACTTTGGGAGGCCAAGGTGAGCAGATTGCTTGATCTCAGAAGTTTGAGATCAGCCTGGGCAACACGGTGAAATCCCATCTCTACCAAAAATACAAAAAAAAAAAAAAAAAAGGAATAAATTAGCTAGGTGTGGTGGTGCGTGCTTGTAGTCCCAGCTACTTGGGAGGATGAGGTGGAAGAATTGCTTGTGCCCAGGAGGTAGAGGTTTCAGTGAGCTGGGGTTGCAACACTCTACTCCAGCCTGGGCGATAGAGTGAGACTCCGTCTTAAAAAAAAAAAATCAGATTGCTTTATTGCTGGTTTTCTATCTAAAACTGAGATTGGGTTCCATCATCCCCTGGCCCCCATTGGTTAATGGTTCCTCCCTTGTCTATTGCATAAAATACAGATGACTGCTTTTGGCAGCATGGTTGAGTGTAGACACTGCAGGGTCTTCCTGACACAAAACGAATGAGGCTTCGGTAAAACACATTTTGAAATACATTTCTGGATGAATAGCAAAGAAAGGAGATCTCCTAAATTCCTTTTTCTGTCCCCCTCTCGCTACCCACTCCAAGTGGGCTTCAGCAGGAGAGATAGTGAGCAGCAGGTAAACACACATCAAAGGCAGTCTTCCTCTCTAAGGGAAAACACTTATATCAGCATTATAATCAATGGGCCTCTTTAATTATGTGCCAGTGATAAGAGGGGGTGCTGAACCCAGGGGCCTGCCTCAATCTGGGGCCTTTGAAGCATATTAAAGTAGTTTCAGGTTTTTGGCATTTCCTTGCCTTTCCACCCGAAGCAGACACAAATCCTCTCTGGAGGCAAGTTCTCCAATTTAGCCATAGAGCACAACTCCCACAGACTAAGATCAACCATGTACAAGCTCACAGTCAAAGGTCACCAAACACACAGAGCAACAATCAAATTCATGAGTGACATGAATGAGAGTAAACAGAAACAATAACCACCAGTTGGGGCGCTCTAAGGCTTCAGCTGTTAGAATTGCTGAATATGGAATAAAACTGCCACAATAGCAAACATGCATCTAGTACTTACTGTGTGCTAGGTTCTAAGAATTTTGCACACATTGTGCCAGA